GTGTGTGTGTGTGTGTGTGTGTGAGAGAGAGAGAGAGAGAGAGAGAGAGAGAGAGAGAGACGATAACTCTCTAATCTCGCGGCTGCCACTTGCCGCCCGAAACCGCTCCCCCCATTCGATTGCCGCAATAGCGCTGCCCATCGCGACCCGGCAAAGAGGACCCCGCTAACCGTTGCCGCCCCCCCTCCCCCGGTGATTTTTCGCGGTCCCACCCACCGCGCCCCCGCCTGGCAAAGAGGACCCCGCCAACTGGCACCCCTCCCCGGCACGATTTTTTGTGGCCCCGCCCGCCGTGCCCCTCCCGAACCGTCATGCGGGGCGCTGCGATTTCTCGTCGCCGTCCCACGTGGCCGTCCCACGGGCACGTCCCCACGACCCCGCGGTACCGCACGCGGGCCTCCCTGCCCGACTTTCCCTGGGCCCGGCGGCAGCGTCACGCGAGGACCGATTTTCCCTTTAGGGTATAAGAGATTATTTTGCTACCTATCAAAAACAACCCCCCCAAATTTTTGATTTTTTTTTTTTTATTATGTTTTTTTAATAGTGTCCGACGTGCGCAGGCCGAGCGCGCGCGCCGATTTTGAGCGCGCGCCCCCGCCTGGGCATGGCGCAGCCGCGCGGCCTCGGAGGTCGGCCGCGGACTAGGATCCTGCGGCCGCGGCCGAGGGTGCCACCTAGCTCAGTGGGGGCCGGTTCAACCGGTAGGGACCATGGAACTGTGGGGGCATGAACGGGTGCCGCCTGTCTCCAGCAACGCAAAATATCGGATTGTTTTGACAAGGCCGGTAACCAGTCCGGTCCTCTGTCCAAAAACAAGTGGGACGGGCCAGTACCCTGAAACAACCAGTACCATAAATGAAAAATGTGGGACCGCCCCGGAACGGACAGGTACTTAACACGTCACAAGTGGCATTAAGGAACTACCATGGTGACGGCACTGCCGGCCTGAGTTACAATAGCTTTTCTGAACTTGGGGCATGACAAAGTTGCCGGCTCATGCTTTTTTTGCCAATTAGAAACTCTCATGTGACATAAAAAGTACTTCCCTCAACGGTTGACCCCTGTTGTTATGGCACCCGGCCTGACATTACGGCCGTTGGTACTTTCATTGCTTGGTCGAACTCGGCGCCTGTTTTCTTTGCCGGGGCATGTTTTTCTTGCTCATTCGATACTCAAAAGTGACATCAACAACGATTCAACGTACTTGCCCCAAAAAATTACAAGATATAAGAAGAACATCCAGACCTTTCCCCAAAGATCCTATGGTGTGCAATTATTAACATACCAGATAACAATGACTAACACATTGCAACCCAATTTCTTGAGCGATCCTATTCTGTGGCGACGCCGGCGAGGCGATGTGCGCACGGCGGCACCCCTTGCCATTCCATTAAACTCAAGGCCAAAACATTCAGCTTGACCAACTGGAAAATGGAAATCATTCAAAAAATGGAAATCATTCAAAAAATGGAAACACTATGTAACTTGAACATCTGGAAATAACTTCAAAGCTTCTGAATCAGCAATTCTTTATAGAATCAGAACTTTTGTAACAGCTTAACAAATCCATAAATAGCACATTGACACCTGAATCCCTGGCTCACTTCTCACTGTTCTCAGCGTTGTCAGTGCTGTCACTGTGCTCCGAGGCAGCCCGGAAGCTGGAAGTTGAATAAGGGTAGGACCTTGAATAAGGGTAGGACCTGAACCCTCACCCTAAAACACAAAACGGAACTCGATGCCGGTTCACACAAAACTGTTAACAAATCCTCAGCTCGACGAGATTGCAGTGAACCATCCAGTGGCATCCACCGATTCCACTCACCAATTTGCACAAAACCGTTAGCGAACCCTCCGCTTCCTACATCCGCTCTGGACTATCCATGGATGCAGAACATATGGCGACGTAGTATAAAATCCACAGTTCCTTACCTATCAACCTCGAAATGTCAATACTTGTGACCAGTAAATAAATACTGAGCGTTCAGCTTAGACAGAGTCTGAGAAGGGGGCCATATTATAAACAAACAAGAGCAGATCTGATCAGACACTCTCTCTCTCTCTCTCTCTCTCTCTCTCTCTCTCTCTCTCTCTCTCTCTCTCTCTCTCTCTC